TCAAAAAGTTATTATTACAAAAATGGTCAGAACCTAGTGATTCTGGGAGTAAATCCAGTGCGAGCATGACCTGTCCGCGGGTCGGGTAATTCATTGGTCTCTCTTTAGTTGTGGAGAGGCAGCCAGTTGAAGAGAGAGAGAGTATTATTGTTTACTTGACCATATACAGCTGGCTTTGGTTGTTATAATTAGGCAGCCACTACTATGCAACCAGCCTGCCTGCCTGCCTGCCCGCCGCATCTGCTACAACAACATGGAAGAAAGAGGCGCGGCCAGCTCCTCTCTTCCTGTTAAAACACTGTTTTGCACTTATTGCTACTAAAAGCTGTTGGAGAAAAACAAAGCAAAACAAAACACACACGATAATTCTGAATTATAATTTTATTTATTTTCAAGTTCATATTTAGCGGGAGTAAGAAAGAATTTTTAAAAGTTGCTATTGACGAAAATAGTCATGAAAACTAAAACAGGTATGAAAATCGGGAGTAAAAATAGTACTAGGTAATGGTTAGTAGTTTAATAATCTCTAGCATTGAATTAACTGTTAAATTCGACCCGTCTGCCGTACCGAGTATCTGTTAAGTGTTAATTATTTAACAGATACACGGTACGGCAGACGGGTCGGATTTTTAGTGGTAAGAATAAAAAAAAAATCGTTCATGCAGTATTTTCCCTACTACTCACGGTTAAAAATGTTCATTTTATTTTATTCACTGTATAGTAAAAATAAATAAATAATCAAGAAAATATTAAAGTAGTTTCTCAAAAGATTTGTACAGTTCACAGTTTATTTAATCACTCGAGAACAACGTGTTTTAAGTACATATTCTTTAGTGTTTCTTTTACTAAAGAGAGACAACCACGTAATCTAATTAAAGAAAAAAGCTATCTAGAACCTATCACCAGTTATCAGTTATTTCCCTTCACTTGTTGAGATTTAGCAATGAAAATTTGATTTCATAACCTTTAACCATTTCAGTGATAAAATAGTAATTTCATAGAGAACATAAAATCTCACCAAATGTGATAAAACTTACCTATCTTATATTATTTACTGATAAATTATGAAATTTTTCACTGGAGTGATGAGCTGTTGATTAATATGAAATTTCAACTCAGATTCACTACATTTCTAAGTCTGATTTCATACCCAGATGTAACTGGATATTAAGTATTTTTAAATATATTTTTTAATTGATTTTCAACTCAAATTTTAATAAAAGTAATTATATGCATCAGTTATTTTGGCCACACTGAAGTCTAACACTTTAGATAAGATCATTTTTTTTTTCAACATTGAGGTGTTAATTTTAGACAAATACTATTTTGTCTTGTGTTGAGTGAGTGTGGGTATTTGTGAAAGTTTCATTGAATAAAGCAGAACTAGGAAAGTTCATTCAGCATGACACTTAAGGAAAAGGCATTGTTTATTGAGTAAAAACAAAGCGATTTTCACACCAAATCTTCCATGAATTTAGGATTTCTCCTCACTGTTTTCAACATCTGATTTTAGTTATATATACATATACATTCTACAAGGTTTTATAAGTTACTGTTTTTGTTCATTTCTCAATTATTGTTTTGCCAATAACATTAAAATAAAATTTTTTAATGCTATTTATTATGACAGAAAAACGTAATTAATAAAAGAACAAACCTAGTGACAACTTGATAAGATATTTTCCCAAGATTGATGGTTCTTTTATGTTAATTTATTATAAGGTTTATTTTAAACCTTTTATAAAAAGCCATAAATTTCATAGATTCTCAATCATTATATTACTATGAAACTTGGTAAAGAAATTCTCAAGATGGTATGGAAGAGAATTTTATGACAAGTAGAGTTGATGATTTGGTAAAGATAGAATAAGAAAATTTGCAAGTGTGCTATTAATATTTCTAATATTCTGCCCAAATTATTTGAAACTTGTTTCCTTAAGATTAGAAAGTTATAATTGTATTTTCAATAGCTTTAGTAATTAACTTTGTCAATCATTTGCATAAAATTAATTAGAAGAGCAATCTGAAATGAATTTCAGGTGTCAAAAGTAATTGACTATTTTAATCAGTATTAAATACCTGTTGTAATCAAGCCAGTATCAATACTTAATAACTTACTTTGAGTAAAAGAGGAATTTTTTTAAGAAAAACCTATCAAAAATTTTTATTTTAAATGGAAATGAAACAATAACAATGAAACATGAATGTTTGTAAGTATTAATTATTTTTAAGTCGTGCTATGTAAACATTGAGTGTATATATTCGTATTGTATGCCGAGCAAACTGTATTACGAAATATATGAATACAGGCAAGTCTCAAGAAAGAGGAAAAAAAAAAAAAAAAACTTATAGCACACACTTTCCCTTCAATTTGAAATCAATTATGAAATATTATCAAATCCCAATACTAAGTTTTCATAAGTATTTTTGAGATTCTGGATTCTTATGAAAAAGGTGCAGAAAGGTTCCCTGCTCTTCACAACAAAGAGAGCATTTTTACAATATTTTAATATAGCACACATTTCACATTTGAAAACTTCAATGTAAAATTCCCATCATAAATATCTGAAACAAATATCACACAGTTTTTAAGTTCAATTTCTATTCACTAATTTGATACCAAGATATTTCTTTATAATTTATGTAAATGTTATTTTCTGTTTAAAAGTGGATAAGCATATTGTGTGATACCATAATGAATTCCAGAGTAAAACAGATCGGAGAAAAAAAACCAGGTGTGTCAGCAAAGACTAACTTAAATAGTATTTTTTGTGGGAAGTTGTTACTAAAATTATTTAAAGATCCCCCCACCCTCAACACATATTGGGGATTGCAATTATCATAAGACAAAGACACCATAACACCACAAAAACAACAATGTTAAAATTTACGATCCCATACAATGTCACAGATTGCCAATAACAACTTGTATTGATTGGTTGGCTGGAATTAAGTGGAATAAGTTTACCATTTAAAGAGAACACCAAGAGGAGACAACCAGATTAATTGTGACTGATCTTCTGTAATACCACCTTCAATTCTACCATCTTTACCATTTCTGTGTGTGTTCTGATATAAGAGTCCAGTTAAGCCTTCAAGATTGGGTTTAAAAATCTCAGGTAGCACCCATTCTACGAGTTAAATAACAACAAAGTGGCTGTTCTTGTTACAACACCAGGATTTCCATTCTTTCTGTTTTTAGTTGGTGTTCCAAAACAAACTAGACAATTGATATAATTTCCCTTTGTATTGTATCACATTGTACCACTTCCTTTGTAAGTCTATGGGTATGGTATTAGTATATAACTGCATATAAATGTAAGTTCTATGTGCTCTTACATAGAACTTACATTTATATGTTAAATAACTTAATCATTTCACCCTTAAAGTAATAATTCAACTAAAGTTGCAAGTTTCTGTCCCTAGCAGCAATGAGAGTTACAGTAATATTTTCTTTAATAACTGTAAATAATAACTGGGTCAGTATATTTTACTGTTAGACCATTGGTAAAATTCTAATTATACTTAAAAGATTTGAATTATTTGAAAATATGATAAATATATTTTTGCAAATGTCACTAAATCTAGCTTGTTCCTCAGGCAAGGATTTTTTGCAAGTAATTTATTAGTTAATGAACTTTTCCCTTTATCCCAAAACAAAATTACTCCCTTTCACATACAAAGATGAAATTTTAAGGAACTAGTTTTTGTTTCTTGTAGTCAAAAATATATTTTGAAATAAAATTATTTTAAGAAATGAAAATTGGGAGCAATTTTAGATTATCTACATTTAAAAATGTTGCTTCATAATCAAACATGAAAAATGTTTGAAAGTTATCTTAAATATATATTCACTTAATTATATTTTTTTAGAATTTAAAATGTATTTTTAAAATTTGAATAATTATTTTCAATGTTCACAAACTTTTAGTATAGCATAAAATTACAAAAATTCAGTTCTAAAAATGAAAAGAAAAAAAAGGGTTTAAATAGGGAGTTGCACACTCCATTTTATTTTGTTTGTGTTGCAATACAAGCTGTTTTTGTGACCAGTCTGAGATAAAAATTTAAACAGAAGAAAGATGTTGTAGATGAAAAAGCTATCAAGAGTTATTGCAGTACTCAGCAGAAAAATAAACCAAAAGAATATTTTATTTTATTAAAGTGGAAGTCTAAAAGCAGAACTTGAAAGGCTGAAAGAGAAGAAGCATACAAGTCAATAACTGGACACAATGTTTTCTCCTTCATTTATGTTTTTTCTGCAATTGAAATAGTTATTTGTAAAAGACTCTTCAATGATGTTTGTCAAGTTGTAACCAGGATTATTATATTAAGAGTTTGATTTCTTAATTATTTGCATAATTTGAGAGCAAGCAGTTTGTTGAACTTGAGTAAAAAATTTAGATTTGTCTCTTTCTGAACAAAAAGTCATAAATTGGACACTTTTTCAACTACAGTAATAACACAATAACTGTCTTAGTAATCAATGAAAAGTGTTGAAATGTCATGAAGATGTTGGTACTGTTACACAACCGTATTAGTATTTTTTTTTTTTACTTCATATTACTTCAGATGTGTAATATAGATTAGGATACTACAAAGAAAAGACAAATGTAGAAATAAATAATTTTAGAATTCATATTAGAAGATTTTTACCACAAATTGCTATTAAATAGCTAAGATGGTAGTATACAATGTTAACTGATTAAAATTAAAATAAGAACAGAAAATTGATGGGAAATTTGATATTTTTTCTTTCTTTTTCTCTGCTTACAAATTTATAATAGTATGAATGCTTGCAAAACTGTTTATGAACCCTTAATATGGAAAATTATCTACATTACAACTTGATGCAAAAGAAGAAGTTTAACTTTTGTTCAAAGTATGATTTTTGATAACCCTATTTCAAACATGTGTCCAAGAGGTGTGAAAAACAGGGATAGAGAGAGTGAGAAAGAGAGAGAGAGAGAGATGAAAACTGGTAAAAAACAGCAACATACTTTTTCCTTGTAATCCTATTGAAGACTTTAAGTTTAGCGGATGTGCAGCCAGATTTCTGATCAATTCCGATTTAACTGAATTTACTGAAAATCAGAAAAATAACAATCATTATTCCTAAGGCTATCTGAGCATTTATTGTCATGAAAATCATCTGGGTGGTGTCTGCTTTTAAACAGCTTCATGCTTCTGCAAAACAGACATGCTCTTTCACAATAGACATGCTTATAGGGGAAGAAGATTTCAGCCAATGATGTTTTCAGGCCAGTAAGGGAATAAGATGAATTTGAGGAAATAAAGAGAAATTTTAAAATTATATTTTTTAAAACTTTATTAAATACAGTTCCATACAGGAAAATTAAAACTTAAAAGAATTAAAGGGAAAGGATTATTTTTAAAGAATAAAACTTTTAAAGACTTGGTACAATTTTAAAAAATAAGTGAATGCTTGGTAATGTGCTTCATCAATCTAGCACCTAGCATAGATTCTTAGTCCTACCACAAAAATCATGCTTGTAAATGCTATTCTCACCAGGAAAAAAAAATCCAGTTTTATTTCTTTAAAACAAAATATTTTTAAATTATGACTTTTGCATTTCAAAACCCATTTTATATTTGTTTTGGATAGCTTCATGATTTTAGTCAAACGATGTATTATAATAAAATGTTCTACAAAATAAACGGATTGAAATAGGCCCTTTAAGAATGTATAAGACTTTGATAATGAATTCAGACTCATCTATTTTTCTCTTTAAATGTAAAAAAGATTAAAAGTATTTTTGGTTTTCTATTTATAAGAGATTTGTAAGGAGGATTTTTTAATATTTAAAAACATTTTTATAATTTTGAAAGCTTATCACAGAAAACAACTGCAGAATAAAAAATATACTGACATAATCTTTTTTTCTATGTTAACTATCAATAAACTGACCATTGATAATGTTGAGGTTTTCATATCAAATTATATACACAATGGAAGCTTAAAGAATGTCCAAAGTGGTTCACATGGCTGGAAAAAAGTGATTAAAACTGGATTACTTTGCAAAATTTGCAAAACCAAACAACATGCAGTAAGTATTTAAGTGCAATCATGCAAAAGTTTTTAAAAAATATCACCATAACCAACATCACATATAAGGTAGTCCTATCTAACTTTAAAAAAAATGATTGAATATATAATTGAATTTCAATATCAAAATTCTTTGAAAAAGATTAAGATCATTTCTAATAATAATGCTGATAAATCAACTTTCTAGATTAAGCAGAATGAAATTTATATTTTTCCTAAGTAAAATTAGAAAAAAAATCATCTACAATGTAACCATTTATCAAGCTACTTGAAAAAGTAGCTGATAAAGCAAACTTATTTGCACCTGTCAATATGTTAAATTTGGCTATACAGAGCAGAATGAACAGCACAACAATGATAAAAATGGTACTTCATAACCTTTCAATCAAAAGTGGAATAGACAGATGCTAGATTTTATTATGCAAGTCAATATTTTACAATAAAATTTTGTATCAACAGTGTTGGTAAAATATTTTGGATACATTTATATGAACAGTATATTGTGTAAGTTTCAGCATATATATTATTGCAAACAATATTTTTTAGTGGATACCTGTGTTTGAAATACCTGCCTCATTATTTTTAAACAATGTATTACATCTATCAGTATGTGCACTTCAGAAAACTTAATAAATAAAATATGATCTCCAAGAGAATTTGAACCCGTATCCCACTTTGTAGGAGAAACCACCATTTGAGCCAGTGTACTGCTCGATCACTGAGTGTGTCATAGTGCCTGACTGGTCTAAAGCACACTGGATTTCTTCTACAAAAGGTGACATGTTTGAACCTTGTCAGAGAGCACATTTTTTTTCTTCAGTCTCTAAAATGTTCAGACTGGTAGACATTAATACACACTGTTTAAGGAAAAAAAATATGGGGATTACTTCAAACACAGATATTTACTAAAAAATAACATATGAAGCAATAAAAATGTTGGATTAAAAATAAATGAGATAACTAGATATTAGCAACCATATACGCATGTGCTGGCATGCATATGCTTGTAAGCAAATAAATAATTACCAAATTTAGCCAAGAGGTGTAGACATAATAGTACTCAATGTGATTAGACAGAGCTAAGAAATATATGTTAAGAAATACACATATACCTATGTTTGATGTGCGACTCTAGTTTTGTAGGTTCCCCAAGTCATTGGACACAAGATATATCTCATGCCCGATGGCTTGAGTAAACGAAACTAGAGTTGCACATCAAACATAGGCATATTTATTAACACGCACACATATTTCTAAAGATTTAATAGATTTTTTTTTTATCTGACATTATTCAAATGTTATTTTGTGAGTACACACGTTTGAAGTAGATGCCCCCCCCCTTCTTTAAACAGTTTGAATTATGTGCTCTCCAGCAAAGTTCAAACCTCCTACAATGAGGGATGCAGGTTTCTTTATTCAGTCTGTAAAATGCACAAGCTGGTAGATGTAATTTACATGGTTAAAAAAAAACAAAAAAAAACTCAAACATGGATATCCATAAAATAACATTTAGAGTAGTAGGATATATATATATATATATATATATATATATATATATAATTAAAACTTATTGATAACTCATTTGATACCATCGACAAGAAGCTGTACACCCGGAAATCGGCTGCAGATGGTTGGTATAGACCGACTTGAGAGCTGCAAAAACTGGACCCAGATTTTTCAGGGCTGCTGAAAGCATACTGGACAGTGCCTGAGCCACAGCACTCTAAAGGTACTTTTTCTGTATTCCATGGACAAATTTTATTATGTAAACAAAGTGCAACATCAATTTTAATTATAAATAAATCTAAAATATATAGGCCATATAAATATATATTTAACTAACAATATCTTATTCATATGAAAAAATTATTTTATTATTTTACCTCTTGAATTTCTATAACCATCAGTTTTTCATTCATTGATTTTGCTAATGTTTCTATTGTTTTGACTTCTTACTTTTAATTGTTTTTATTGCTTTATTGCTAATCTTTGATTTCTATATATCTCTTAATGATGGACCATAACTTATCTGCTGGATCAATAACTGAACATGCTGGAGAGGTGGTCATGAATTTGGTTTCTCAAAACTATTTTTGCCAAGTTGAATTTGAAAGCATGGTCTTGCATGGGTATATTCTTTCATTTAAAGCCTTTTAGTTGTGACCTGTATAAATAAAAACTTTTGTCTAAGAAGTTAGAACAATTCTCTAGATTTATGTCAACATCAACAATTTTGAAGAGACCTATAATTTTACTGCCTATAATAATACTAATCCAAATCATTACTCCATCTCAGCAATGTTATCTTTCAAGTAGCGTTGATTGATTATTTCCACAAAGGACTCAATCACTAACTTAGCAATCAGGTCCTTTTAGTGCAGCTCTAGTTTCATCATAGAAAATTACTGTTGAAAAATCTATTTTCACCTACTATTTTGCCTAACTTACATGGCCGTATTTGTGAGGTTTACTTAAAGATGGTTTGGTTGTTTTTATGTCTTTTAGCCACTGTTCTTAATATTTGCCATCTTTTCTCTCTTTACATTCGCAATAACAGCTTCTTCAAATATTTTCTTGCTGCTCAATCCACTTATTACCCTTTTAATATTTCTCAAATCTTTTGTGACATTTTTAAAGTGTTTGTTCTTATCGTGCCTATATTTTCAATGTTATTTTTAATTTGTTCTATGATCTTTGTTAAATTTTTTATTTCAAGTGTCTTTTCGTCATTCAATAGCTTTACAATGTCTTCTTTCTTTAGATATCTGAAATTGAAAAATAAATCTCAATAACTATACTACTATATATTTTACAATATAGTGGAGTTGCATAATGAAATCTCACCCCGATCAAATAAAGTAAATATATGCAGATATAAGCTGAAATAGTATATTTAAGATAAATATATCCTTAAAATATTTAATTAATACTAATTTTAACTTGAAAACATTAAGTTGCATAATAATATTTAACAATCTAATCTTTAGATTTATGTAAATATTTTTTTACATTGGTCTGAAATTATAATAATTTCAATCGAGTTGAGAGCAAATATAACATAAGGTATGAATTTCCTATACAGCCATAATGGAGTTGATCGGTTTGGCAATTTATGTTTCGGTATCGGTTTTTCCCCCATAATACTGCAGTTTTTGATGTGTTTTTTGTTTTTAATTTAGTATTTTTGCTTTTTAAGGAAGCCAATTCATTTTCTTGTATAATGATAGCATTTCCAGTTGATATCTGATGTCGTTTGAGATTGATAAATTTGCAACTTAGTCTGTTCAACTCACAATTTTTTGTATATTTCTTGTTCAATCTTAAAAAAACATTCATATGGCTGTAAAGAAAATAAAATAATCTTTCTAAATATGTAATTTGTATGCACTTTTATTCATTGAATTTTTTTTTTTTTTTACAGCGAGCTAAAACGGTATTTTGTTTCAAACAGCCAAAAAATACGAAATATTTTTTTTTTTGGGAGACTAAATTTTACACATTAATTTATTTTGGAAAATCAAAGTGACCAATCTTTATCAATATTCTTGAAATTGTAGACTCAACTAGAAGAAAACCTTAAACTACAACCAGGAAGATGTTCATTTCTCCTCTGGCCTGTGGAAGTAAATTCCTTCAAAAATTATAAAGTAAGCAGTAAAAAGAGTGAGAGAGCAACTGATAGTAATAAATAAATGTGTGGTAAAAGAACTTTCAAATTATTGAAACTACAGTCAGACATTTGTTTTTGTTTAAAGTTTATTTATTAAAATTTTGGATAAATTGTCCACTATAGATAACTAGCATATTTATTTAACAAATTGGTAAAATATGAAAGAAATCATCACATAAACTATCTATATTTGTGTCTTTGGACAACACATTTGAGAAAGAAAATGGTATAGCTCTCAAGAAATTAGTTTATGATGTGGCTTTTAAAAAGCCAAAAAATGATACCCATAATGTTGTTAAAAATATGACAATTCTTTTCTTGTATGCCAGTCAACTGTTATTGGGGTT